GGAAAACTTCTGCACGACGGGATGTTTCTGTATCCTGCTACCAATTAAATAAAGCAAATCCAGATAATGGAGGGGGGTAGTGAACGGATTTAAAGAAAGAAATCAAATTGTCCTGTGTTACCCACATAATAGCTCGGTACCTATTGATACGCCTATAAACAGAAAATTGCACCCACGTGGGATTTCATTGGCTTTTACAGGACCTTTATGTAGCTGCAAATTAATTAATTTGAGAAGCCAGCATTTAGATTTCACTGAATTAGGCACTCCATGCCAAAGAGCTGTGAACTGGACTTGAGAGTCTCCTTGTGTTAACCAGCCAACTGAGAGGCCCATGGAGAGCATCCTAATAAAAGTCATCTGTGTCTTGGGATCTGATGAAATTAAGAATCAGAGAGATGACTCCTTGTGGCTTTCCTGATACAGTTTATCCTGGGATAAATTATAATATCATAAACACACAATATCTTAACTACAACAAAGTATGTTGAATTGAGTTAGACTTAGTGAAGTAGCTTGATACAGAATTAATGACCTAAAATCCTGTGATGCAATACTGTATATTACATCCTGTGGTATTGTAAGTGGTCACAAAAAACACCTTAACACTGGGGCTTCTGACAGAGTTTATTTGGTGTGTACTCATCATGCCGTAAAAGCACTTGTAGTTCCTTTCCTGTGTTTCACCAAAAGGACTGGAGACTTTATCTGGTATTTAAATTCCATTTGTGAGCTTTTTGTCCTTTTTTTTTTTTTTTTCATGGGTGAAAACATTAGTGAGGAGTCATACTTTTTACAGTTAACCTTCACCATAAACAAAACCGTACCAAGATATATATGTGTACGTTGGGCGTTTTTACTTGATGTTTGGGTTTTTTTCATTTATTCCCAGGTTTATAAGGGTCCGGACTGGTCATTCCGATACACAGGCCTCCAGCTGAACTGTGAATACCGTTTCCGTGCGTGTGCCATTCGACAGTGCCAAGAGACAGTAGGTCATCAGGACCTGGTAGGCCCCTACAGTGCACCAGTGCTATTCATCTCTCAGAGGACTGAACCACCGGCGAGCACCAACAAGGACGCTGTGCAAACCACAAGGACACAATGGTCACAGAGCGACCAAGTGTGCGCTGCTGTCATCCTTGCACTTTTTGCTATCTTTTCCATTCTGATCGCTGTTATCATTCAGTACTTCGTAATAAAGTGAAGAAAGAGAGATTTATTTTAGAACGCTGCCCATTACATTTTACTTTCTCATAATCTAAAAGTAATTCTGTTCTCTTGCTTTTACAAAACCAGGCATTTAGCACCGGCATTGGGACTGATGCAAACCTTTTCAGTCACTTTAAAATGCTTACTGGTAGGTCTAGGCTGACACATGTTATTAGAACGCAAGCCACAGAAATACAATCTTTTCTTTAATATGCCTTCTTGCAGTACAGACTCTATACGGGGCAGGCAAGCAGTGTTTAACGAAAAGGGTTTGACCAGTAAACGCAAGTGCAAAAATGGTTTCCTGGCCCACACTTTTAAGGGTTGCTACCATAACAGGGAAGAATGTGTAGATCGCATTTAAAACTTACACTAACAAACTTGTGCTGTATACAATATTAATCTGATGCTGTGAAAGCAATTTAGCGCTGTATTTCTACCTCCTCATTTGTCTTAATTATTTGGGAAGCAGGATTTATGCTGAAAAACAGAAGGGGCTTTTCTCAGGCAGCAAATAATAAACTGGATGGAAGAGTGTGCATGAAGGAAGCTTCTTCTCTGATAAATGTGGAGTTCTTCACTGCAAGTAGATGTTTTCGAAAGACTACAATGGGATGGCACAAGTGGTTTATCTTACCCCCAGGCTTTGATGTTTACTTACAAAAATGCCTCTTTTACTTCTTATGAATATAGAAGGGAGAGTGTGAGAGAACTTCTTAGACTTATTATTTAAATTGAAAAACACATTTCCGAAGTTGACCTTTGACTGGATGCAGTTTATACAGATGTCTGTGCCCTCTGATTTTGGCTAGTTAAGATTTTTGAGATAAAATTCATTACTGAATTTTTGCTGTTTACCCAGCATTCACTTGCCATATCCACCAGAATCAAGCACTGCCTTTTTTTCCGTTTTCTTTCTGTCTTTCTTTCTTTGGGGCACCAAATCAGAAGACGAAGTGTAGTAATTTGCACCAGAAAACTTAAAGCTGCTTTTTTCTTGAGATCCTAATGTTTAATGTAATGTCTCTTTGGATACTGTACCAAATTGTTGATTGCATGTAGTTAATGTTGCATTAGAGCACTTTGCAATTGCATAACTCATCAATGTTTTGTGAGCTTGCATTTGTGAGTTCTTGAATGACCAGACTGAATTTTATCAAGTATCCCATTGAACATCTTGCTAGATGTCAATGATTGCCAGTGACACAAAGCTTGTAGTGAAACTATCTTAAAAAAAAAAAAAAAAAAAATTCCTTGTCTCATCACACTTACGTTATTTGTTATACACTTTGTAATTAGCTATTTTTAATTTATTTGAGTTATGAGATAGTGGATCATTAATGACTTCTAGTTGTGTTCAGTTTAGCATTTTTAATGGTATTAAACACTTCTGTCGGTCTTAATAATAATAAAAAAGGAACCTCTGTCTTGTGCTTTGAAGATCTCTGAAGAATTTCTCTTATATTAGAACGGGCATGTATTGTAATTGTTTATACGTCCAATGATATGTGCTGTAGAATAATGTTGCTGAGTTTCGTTTTTAAAAAAAAAAAAAAAAGAAATGGCAAAGAACTTGGCCTCCATGTGGCGAGAACGATCTGTCTTTAAAATGTACTGTATGTTTACATTTTATTTCGAATTTGTCATTTGTACGTATAGGCTGATACCTTCCCGCAGGATACCGCGATAACTGATGTTTTCTAGAACCTTCTTAAAAGTGCCATGTTTGGCAGTGCAAATGAGGTTGCGTGTAACAGCCCAGAGATTTCTTACGGTTGAATGTCTAAAACGGTAAGATTTGTTACTACAGTTAATCTGCAGTGACTTATGTTTTTCATAGTAAAATTCAAATGAGCTCCTATTTTTGATAGTCATTTAATAGTGTATTTGCCATTTGAGCCTCAGTGCGTATTACTGCATTGAAGACAGTTTTTAATGTAATCTTAATTTTACCTCATATACTGTACATTCCAAAAATAAATAAAAAAGGAAAAAAAGAAAAACTCTAAACTTTTTAAAACGCTATAGATACACTACCAAACATATCACTTTACAATTGTACAACATCGGGCTCCATGAAGATGAACCTGTATAGTCTGATAGAAAATACATAAACTATGTAGCAAAGTATCTTTAAAAAAAAACCAACTGTGGAAAAT